TGGCCTCTGCCTGCTGCTGACAAATGTGGAGATCAACTGGCCTTCTTCCAAATGCCACTTGCAGCAACAGCTGGGGTCCCAACTTAAGCAGTGGTTTCTGCCAGGGCTTAATTTCACCCTGAGATGGGGGAGTCTCTGAACATCAATCACATAAGAGACCACAAGGTCAAGCTCATGGTGGACAACACTCTGAGGGAGTTCCAAAATGACTACAGCTAATCTTGAGAACCCCTGTAGGTATTAATTTTTATTACCTCTGGTACACTGGGCTCAGAACTGCAGTCACAGGAAGGGTTCTGAGACAGCTTACTTCATCCACAAACCCAGCTTTCCCTATGTGTAAGGACAACTGTGTAGAGAAGTGATTTGAGGACATTAGGGAAAACTTGTTTAAAGTATGTTCACTTGCCCTGGGATCTCACAGACTAATGTAAGGATGGAGATGAAGGGTGGGCTGAGAGGTCGCAGGCATGGTGGGCATGTGTCCATGGAGTCAGGTAGTCAATTTATTTTGAGCTTGGCTGCTAACTTGGACAAGCTTCACCTCTGTGGGCCTCCCTTTCACTTCTCCCCACCTACAGAAAAGGTATACCCACAGACCTGCTTCCTCCTTGTGAGTAGTAAACGTGACATTGATGTGAAGTGTGCAGCCAAGGGGATTCATACATAGCAGATATTAATGCAGCAGTTACTGTGATCTGATAACATCACCAGGCCTGGGCCAACACTTAATAAGGCAAAAGCTAAAATAGTTCCAGTGGAGGAGCCAAAAGCAAACTGGTGCTTCATTTTTCCCTAATAATTTCCAGATTAAAAGTTCCTGTATCTGACTTAACATGGAACTATTCAGGTTGGAGCAGAGGGAAGGTAGTATTAGGCTTCACAATATGAAAGAAAGGCTCTCCTGGCATGAAAATGTGTCCACATACTCTTTTGTTCAGGAAGTCTGCTAATGCCTATGGACACTGCGTGTATCTTTTTTCTTTCTTAACAAAGGTAAAAGAATCTCAATATTAAAATCTAAGTGCTGAAAAAATACCTAACATGGAAAGTGAAAAGCCCTCATAACTCCACATATGATGGAGCTGAAAATTTTTTCACTTACTTTGTAGCAATTCATTTTCATGGGCATTTTCTCCCATGAGTACAGTCACTAGTTGAACAGTGCTCCTGAAACTGTCAGTCTCTGACATGAATGGATTCTAGCTGGCTCTCCACACAATGCTGCATCCATGTGCATCCTTAGGCTGGCCTTTCTGTGTGCTTGTATGCAACAGACACCAAGAAATGGAGCTGCCAGGTCAACGAGGATGAGTATGGACAACCAGCACTGACTGCCCAAGTGAGGCTGGGTGGCAGAAGTGAGGAACAGACAGGAGGCTAGGCCTGCAGGGTGCCACCATTCATCTTGGGTTTAGGCTGAAATCTGCCAGAGCCACCATTTCTCTTTTACTTGCCTAACTGGTGAGGATCAAAGAGCAGGACAGACATCTCAAAAGAGATGAGATCCGAACAGTCAATAAATATATGGCACGAATCTCGCCTCCACTTGTCATCAGGAAACAATCAATTGAAACCAGAAGGAGCTACCACTAGCACATGCCTGACGGACAAAAGCAGAAGCTAAGCCAGGTGTGGCGCACACTTGTGATCCCAGTCACTTGGAAGGCTGAGGTAGGATTTCGAGTTTGAGGACAGCCTGGGACACAGTGAGACCTTGTCTAAAAAAATTAAATCAAACAAAACAAAGAAAAGACACTAAGCACTGGGGAGGATAAGAGGAAGGTGGCTTCTCCTTGTACAGCTGCAGACTGGCAGCCACCTGCTGCTGCTAACACAGGCCTCCTAAACAGCCCCGTGATCGCACTGCTAGCTCTGTACCCAAAAAAGTGCCCACGGCAGTCACCGTAAGATGCATGTAAGTACTCGGTGTGGCACCTTCACACAATAGGATGCTAACCCCACACTCATAATGTACCTCATGGTGGAAAAAGACCCCCCCCCACCGCACAATTTTATGATTTTTATGATCCTGTTCATATAAATACAAAACAGGCAAAACTGCTCCATTATCTGAGGAGTCAAGCGAGAGGTCATGCCTGAGGCAGGCCTGGTAACTGGCAGGGACAGGAGGGAGGAATTAGCTCTGGGATGGTGGTTCCTGCTCTGGAGTTGGTTGCACTGATGTGCTCGATGTGCTTCCTATACTGACAGGTAGCTAAGCAGCTGTGACTGGGGAGCAAAGGGAGTCTACCCCCATGTGGGTTCAACATCAGGAAGCTCAGTGGCTCTCAGAGCAAGTGTCATCCTCAAGCAAGGCTATATCAGAGGCTGAGGTGACCTTTGGGTCTCCATCTATCTTTGTCTTCCTTCCCAACTTTCAGAATTCAGGGGAGAGAAAAAAGATTCTACAGGTCCCTTGAGACCCTAACCAGAACCAAGTCTTACTCATTTTAGACTCTGGCACTTAGCCCAATGACTGGCACCCAGTGGACATAAATTTATAAGTGCTTGTTAGTTGACACAGAAGAAGCAATGAATGGTCTCTGTGATACTGACAATGACTATATTTAATCAACACCAGAGAGTACCAAGTGGCTGGAGACATGGGGGTGGTTTACATGGGTTTCTAACATAATACTTCACGTAGCACCCACACACAACATGGCAGAGACCACTCACGCAGGGCCTTCCCTTGGTGGGGCACTTTGACCTGGGACACTTGAGTCAACATAATGTTTGCTGTTTAAGCCACCTCCAAGAAACAGATGAGAAAAACTGTCCCTTCTGCTCTTCTCCTAGGCCTCTAGAGGACCATTCCTGGCAGAAGTCCAATGGGATCCACATATACAATTAAAAAAAAAAATTAGGTCAGGTGCAGTGGCTCAACCTATAATCCCAGCTACTTGGCAGGCAGAGATTGGGTGAATTGTGGTTTGAAGCCAGCCCAGGCAAAAAAATTTGTGAGACATCCATCTCAACCAATAAAAGCTGGGTGCCGGAACATGCCTGTCATCCCAGCTATGAAGGATGACAGGGAGGCTACCCCAGCATAAAGCAAGACCCTATCTCAAAAATAACCAAAGCTCAAACATGAGGCCCTGAGTTCAGCCTCCAATACCCCTCCAATTTTTTTTTAAACTAGCCCAGTTTATCTAAAATACTGTTATTCCAGCAATCAATTAATATAACTGCTATTGAAGAGCTATTTTGCTTTCTTTTTTCCGCCATACTACTCTGGTATGGATTTTACATTTCCAGCACATCTCGTTCGCACAGGCCATTGCCAGTGCCACTGGACTAGATGGTATAGCTCTAAGCTCTGACCTTCCATGCCAAGGACACTCCTGGCACTGCCCTGGGCGATAAGGCAATGAGGCTGAAGAACACAGGTGAATCCGTGGCTAGGCTCCGGGCCAGGAAATCCCCCAACACTTTGTACCTTAAGTGCTGCATGGTGTCAGAGCAAACAGCACCTCAGACAGGGCAGAGACCCCTAGTCAAGACCCTGCGAGGCCTAGAGGCAGAACTAGAGCAGAGGTGCCGCCTTCTGTTGTTTCAACAGCAGAAACTTTTGAGTCTTAGCTTCCCAGTGACACAAACCAATTTTCTCTGGGGGTAGGGACCACGGATACTCACGGTGGCACTCCTGCCATGTGGTACTGCTATGGGATGTGTGCTATCTCCTCACCTTGCCTAGGGCAGCCAAAGGACCATGCCCTTACCCTACCTGCACTTCTAACGTAAGCAAACTCCCATCAGTGTGTGTGGCAAAGGGTAAATTAACATTTCTCATCTGTAAAATGAGGGCAGCTATCATCGCCATACAGGAATGCTGGAAGGGAGGCTGGGTAGGATACTGGTAAAGTCAAAGCACAGAACATACTTTAAGTAAATGCCACCAGCCACCACCCAAATGTTGGTGAGAAACACAGATAAATGCCACCATTAAGAGGACAATTACAATTGAAAACAGTAGGCTTAAAAGTAGAGGGAAATTCCAAGAGCTTCAGTATCTCCTAGGACTTCAGCCACAGCAGCCACCAAGCAAACTTCAGGATGTGAACAGAGCAGGAGTACCCTCTGGAAGCCTCTGCCCTCCTGAAGGGTCAATTCTGAAGACATTACTCCACACTGCAGACCTTCCCCAGACTCACATTCATCACCTGATAGGCAGACAGATAGCCACAGGAGAAAGGGAAGCCCTGAGCCTGAGGGTTCTCAGGGAGTCCAATGAAGGGACTGAACCAGCAGCTGCTGTCTATAAATACCTCATCAGAAGCGGCCCCCAAAAAGGGGGTCTCCCACACTCCCCTCTCCACACCAACACATGGAGGGGAGGAGTCTTCATTACACTTGACAGATGAGGAAATCAAGTTACAGGGAGTTGAGAACATTGGCCAAGGTCACAAGGTGGGCCAAAACCTTTCCCCTCTCCCCCAGCCCCACTCAATTCCAGACACAAAGTGGTGGAAGCCCTAGCAGGTGTCTGAGTCTCTCAAAGACCACTTTCCCATGGCAGCCTGCTTTGAGGAAGCATTTCTTTACCACTGATTCCTGGGGTTGACCTTGCAGGCTTCTGGAGATGTGAATGAATCATTTATCCAACTTTATTTTCAGAGATGAAATGAAAAAATGAGATGGTAAAACTAATTATTACTCTGCACAACACAGCCCCACCACAAGGCAGAACACGGCAGGGCCAAAGTGCATCACAGCATTTGGGATGGGGTAGCACAGGAAGCAGCATCTGCCCTAACCTTTGCCCTTCAGGTGGAGCTATTTGGAGCAAGCAGCCTCTGTCCCTTAGGACTGGTGCCAGAGCTGGGCGGGACAGTGCAGGAAGCAGGCCACCTCAGAAGCAAACAGCCCTCCTCGGCTTGCAGCCTGCCCTTCGGCACCCAGTGTGGCGCAGGAAGGCCCCCTGAGCTAGGGCCACACTGTGACCAGCACAGCAGGCCGCCATGGCAGCTTGCAGGTAGAAGATGGCAGACCGTTACCTTCGCGTCTGTGTGTTCAGCCCACTCGGTACCCTGAGGACCCAGTACTGTCAGGCCACCCTCTGGTCCTCTGGAGGAAAAACAACATTCTTATTTGTCAGCAAGCACATAATTCATTTATTTCCTGAGCAATAAGGGAAGGAGCTGGAAGTCAGAATCCCCAGGAGTTTGGAACACTAGAAAACAACCCCCGGCGGGTGGAGAAAGAGGGAAGAGAATGGACAGGGTCCCCTGTGAAGGATTGTCCCTCCTGTCACTTTAGGAAAACAGGTTGCAGTGGGTCACACATGGCAGGCACTACATGGCAGCTTCATCCACTCTACACAAACAGGGTCAGGAGGAGCCCCTGGCTGAGGCCAGTACAGCTCCTTCCTTAGCCAGGGCTGAAACAGCATCACCAGCCTCTCCTGAGGCAACCTGGAGTGTGCAGGTGTTCAGAGGAGGAATGAAGGACACCTGCCCCAGTGCTGGTGCTGTCCTTATGCTCTTGCTCTTGAATTACAGCCACGGGTGACTCCCAAGAACCCTCAAAATTCTGGGATGAAATACAAAGTCATGATGGTCTAGGCAAAACCAGAATTTAACTGGCTTAGAGCCAGAACTTCACTCCCAGTGAAGTGCATGGTTCCCCACTGCACACAGAACATGGCATTAGGCACTGAGTCACTCATGGCCCTGCCCACTGTTCAGGTGGTGATGATCACAACACAACAGCAGCTTCGGGACTATTTCCCACCTCACTGAGGGCACTTTGGAACCTTATCTCATCTAAGCCCCAAAGTACCATCTTCACCTCAGACGGGGATACTGAGGCTGAGGAGAAAGGCCAGTGTCTGGATTCAAGTCTAGTCCTCCTCACACACCAGCCCTAAGTGTCCTGGCTCAGTAACAGGAGAGGGGTAAGAACCCTAAGGATGGATGGACCAATGCAGACTCAGTCCAGAGTTTGGAAATGAGGCTTTTGTTGCTTTTGTCCCTGGAGAGATCATGTCCTCCAGGTCAGGAGGCTTTTCTGTTCCGACAAGAAGAGGGCAAAGCACCCACCCAGATCCCCACCACTCTGTCCCCAACCCCAGTTTCCCACTCAGATGGCGCTGAGTCTTGGTTAGGCCTCCCACTGTACTCTTTAATGAAAGCCTAGCACGGCAGCTGCTTGTTGATGCATTCACAGCCTTGGTCATCAGGGAAGCAAGTCACCACATGGCCAGAACCAGAGATTTTTAGCCCAGTACGGCTTGTAAAAGGGAGTCACCCTGTGGAAAAGCAGGGAGACGGCTGTTCACAGCAGTTGCACATTAAAGGCCTTTGGGCCGGGCTAGCACCCCTCAAAAGCACTCAGGCCTAAGAGGAAGAGGCCACGGCCTTACCCTGGCTCTCCAACCTGGGAGGGGGTCACCTGTAGAGCCTTGACTTTGTTTTTAAATAACGAGCTGGGGAAGAACATGAATCTCAGGGATGCCTGAAAGTAGAAAAGGGGATTTTCTGAGTTAGAAAGCCTCCCGGCTCTTCTGAACTTGTACCCCGACATGATCAGGACAAAGCAGTCTCACAATACTGGGTGAAAGGCTCATCAATGGCATATTTTTAAGACATGGTCACCCCTCTCCTGGATCGACTTCACTTCCTTCAAAGTATCTCTCGTTCAGAACTCCCGGAACCCTCCTCACACAGTAATGCTTCAGGAATAATCCAGCGACAATCCAACTTCAAACACCTGCTGGGCAGGACTCCAGAGGCAAAGGACAGGAGGACCATTTGAGTCCAGGAGTTCTGGAGGCCAGGAGGGGCCACATGGTGAGGCTGATCTGAAAAGAAACTTCAGCAAAACCACACGCACCAAACCCCTCTGTGGCTTTGCTTTGGAATCCCCAGGGCAAGAGACGGCACCTTTTGGAGCAGGCACCTGGTTAGTTATCATTCTCCCTCAACTGCCACATCCTTTAGGGCCCCTGCTTTAAAGGAAGAAGGTGGCCTTCTGGGTGAATCTGTGGGCTAACCTCTCAGTAGCCACACAGGAAGGAAGGCAGAGACCTGTCTTCTGGAAGGCCAGAGCGGGCATCAGAATGCTCTTGCCCATTGAAACAATGTTAAAAATTGAGTTCAGGCCCACTCCGTTGAGTATGATTTGGCTAAGTGGCTCCAACCAGCTCCATGCTGGGCCTTTGCAGCAACAGAGCTCAGGGCTAGACAGGAATGCAGGCCCTACCCACAATGCTTTGTAAGGTAAAGGATCCGTAAAGCCAAGCGGTCCAAAGCAAGCCAAATGCTGAAGACAATCACTTTTGAGAGACTCAGAAAGAGTTCACAAAGGAAGGCCTAAGCTGTGTCCACAAACAGTGTGGATCTGGTTGTGAAAACCAGGAGGGAAAGGGCCCCAAGAGAGACCAACAGCCCTGGCCACATGGATGCAGGGGCTATCCCACTGCTTACCTTTATTGTGGTTCACAACTCATTATCAGGTCCCCAAAGCCAATTTCATAAAGTATGAAGCAGAATCGAAGGCATGGAGGGAACTGAACATAGTGAGACTAAATATTGTTTTATGAAACTCACTTCAGTTATGAGCAGCTTGAGCCAGGCCCCTCTTTCCTTGGGGAGTGGGGTGGGCCCTTTGACTCAGATTGAGCTTCCAGCCCAGGGCCTGGAACGAGGATCACGCACAGGGTGTAGGCAAAGGGTGGGCCATTCCTGAGGGTGGATGAGCAACAGCAGAGGCTGTCAGTGGCCTCCAAGCCTCTGGATCACAGTGAGAAATGTAGTTCACATCACAACCAATCACACAAAGGACACTAAAAACCTAAAAGGATTTAAATTCACCTTTTCAGTATTTTACTGGGCTAACTTGATGACAAACTAGTGTCTGGATCCTTCTCTCTGAGCAGGGAAGGGGCTGGGCCCCAGATGACAGTCAGTGTCACCAGTCCAGCCTAGGGACCAATGACTCTAGTGACCCTCTGCTTTTGCAATCCTGCAGGTGATGCTGTTTTAGAAGTCAGAGGTCTGCAGGAGAGAGGTGAAACAGCTAGGAAATTTCACATCTTGGGTGAAGAAGGGGAAGGGCTCAGAGCATGCCCAGCAGAGCAAGGGTACAAGCAGACAGGAGGGACGTTCTAATCTCATCTCAGGGAAAAGCCCTTCCTGTTGGGAAACAAATTTGTACCCAGAAAAGGCATGCGTTAACACAGCTGGGGGTGGTGGGGAATGACTGCCCATCCCCAGACACCAAGTCCATCTAACCAGTCACCCCAAGCAAGCCAATCCAGGACTCTCCTAGTACAGGCTCAGTCAGCCAACACACACTTCCTTAAGACCTAATGCATGGGAGCCATAGTGGGTGTGATGCAGACATGCCTCGTCCAGCACTGCTCTTCCTCCTGACTAGTGGCTTACAGCTGTGGTGTTTGCTTGGAACCTACTCTGGGCTGGGACAAGTGTGTTTTCTGCTCTAGAGCAGTAACTCTCCAGAGAGAGGGAACTGGGTCAGAAATGCAGGTGTCTGGGCTGAAAAAGCACACACGAAACCACCACACGCCTTCACATGTGCAGTCAGGAAAGCAGATCTGGACAAAACTTTCTTTCATGGAGACACAAAACACATGCAGCAATTTTTAACGCAGCATTTCTTAGGGGGAGAGGCTGGCATGCTCACATGTCCAAACCCAGGGCTGGGTGTAAAGCCACCTTGCCCTGTGGCCTGAGGAGCTATCTCTGCTCAGGAGCCTGCCCAAAGGCTGGAGGCTGGGCCCTAATCCCACTGCAGTCCTGACTTATGGATTAATGGCATCCTTTGTGGAAAACAAAGTAAATTTAAAGTCCCTCCAGCACACTCTAAGGTGATAACACAGTTTACATTTGCGAAGGAAAACTTGAATTTTCTAAACAGGGAAATAAAATCAACTGGGAAGGAAAGGGACTTGCCAAGGTCCCAGCAGCCCAAAGCACGAGTTCTCCAGATCTGAGGAACACAGGATATGCCCACCAACCAGGATGCCACCCACCTGTGGAGGGCCACAACCACCCCCTCCTTGGTGGAGGGAGGGGGGAAGAGGCAGAGGAAATCCGTTGTGTTCAACGAAATTTCTGATAGCCACCAAGTGACCGTGAAGAAAAACAAGCCTCATCGTTTTCTTGCAGGAAGACTGGCCATCGGGTGGTCCATGGCCATGGCTGAAAGACATTTTTAGCCTACAGTAGGTGTCTTCCAGTCACCTACTCAAAGGCTGTCAACTCAAAGGCTGTCAGGGATGTTTGAGAAGACATGAAAATCTCATAAGAGGAATATTATGGAGCCAGATACCTGTGCACATTTTTTTGAGGCTACATTTTAAAGCAATTTGGTTCTTTACAAAGTTCCACCAAGCAGGGAACAAAATATGTCTAGTTTCTTTATAATAATATTTTTATGTTCTTTCTGGTAAGGGCTGCTAGAGTGTTTTAAATTTTTCATCAAAACAAAAACATTAGCACAGAACTATGTGTCCTGAAGCTTGGATAAAGTCCAGCTGCTTCAAATGGCTGCTTTCACTTTATCTTCAGTATGCCTTTCTGAGAGCAACAAACCTAAACTGACCATGGAAAGGCTGGTCTAAAATGCTCAAACAGGTAGCTGTTTCTGTGCAACCTGGAAGAGCACTATCTGGCTTTAAAACTCCCATTAACTACCCAAAGAAGTCACCCTGACCTAAAAATGAGCTCAGACCATAGCTCTGTGTCATAGTTGGCCCTGGGCCAGTCCCCCCGTGTGCCAGAGGCCACCATTGTGCAAGAAGCCACCCCCACCTATGTTCCCTCCCCACCACCTCTGGCCTTCCAATAATGAGTGCTTAAATGGGAGTAGCCTCCCCCAAGCAGGCGCCTGAGAAGTAGTTTCCTGGGAGGCTCAGGGGCCACTGGGAGGGAACCAGGCAGCAAGAGAGTAAAGGTAAGGGAGCCAAGAAAAGGTGTGCCTTAAGGCTATCATCCATGGTGGCCCATGCTGGCCCTTGACCCAGGAAGAAACCCTGAAGCCTGTGAGATTCGCTGCAGCTGGCCAGATCTGTGCTGCGTCTGATGGGATGGGGCGTGAACTGGGGAGAGTATGAGTAGGGAGGAAGAGCACACAGGTCATGTGGACTAGGAGAGCTGACGGGGCTGGCCTGGGAGGCCAGGGCCATGATAGCCAGCATGGAAGGTGGGTCAGAGGGTCTGGCTGGACCAAGGGTACTCGCTGTCTTCCTGGGGGCACTGTAGGTGGGTTTTAAGGTTTGGAATGTACTTTCTTCACCGCTATGAGAATGCACTAATTCAGAAGTTTAAACACAGTGCCTAGAAGCCATCTGCTCTTTAAGAGTTGTGCTGGGCCTGATGTTTAGACAAAAATGAACTCCCCCCAACCCTGTCTTAAAGCAAATGGCCACAGACAAAAACTCAAACCAGGAGAGCCCACAGGAAGCGAGGGCAAAGAGGAGGAATCGAGGCAAGGGTTATCCAAGAGCTGTCTAGAAGCAGCCCTGTTTCACACCATGTCTGTAAAGCTAGCCTGTAACATGTGGAGTGCCATCTCTACAAGCCCAACAGGCACTGTGCAGATGCAGAAGCTGAAGAGACGAGCAAGGCCAAAGTCACACTGTACCTGTGAAACAGCCTGAGCACAAAGGCTACACGGCAGACCTCATGCAGCCATATTCGTGACACCCAAACGCAGCCAGTGACCATGACCTGTAGAGTGAGCAGGTGCTGGGGAGGTGCAGCACTGACAGCACAATAGAAGGGAAATAAAACTGTGGACCAGAAATGGTCACAAGAATCTCCTTCTGCCCAAACTGAACAGCTCCTGCTCTAAGCCCAGTGCCCACAGGGGGTTCTTCCCACTCACCCACAACAAAGAAAGGGGATTGTGTGAGCACATGAGGGTCTACTAGAATGCTCCCCATCCCCAAACCGACCACAGTGGTCTGGAATCCTCTGGTGGGTGGCTGCTCCCTGGGGCCAGGCTAAGCTCTCCAAAACAGGAGATGACCTCAGGGACACAGCTGCCAAGCACTCACAAGGCTTCTCTCAGCTCCTAACCAAACCTCTTCCCAATGAGGTGATGGTGCCACCAAGTTACAAAGGGTACTTACCTGTGTGTAGGTGTGATCAAGGAATACCTGAAACAGCACCTCTGGTCCTCCTGTTGTATCCTAGGTTGTCAGTTGTCTGGGACTGAATCCCCAGAAAGAAATGGGTTCACGGTCACAACCATAGCAGTTTGCCAGTCTAGGGACACTGGGAAATATTTCCCCCACCTGAAGTGGGAGGCCAGGTTTGTCTTTTAGAATTGGCTCAGGCACTAATTTATTTTGTCAAGTAGGCAAAACAATTTCTCCAAACCTCTTCTCATCTGGAGAACTAGGGCATCAGCCTACACTGAGGGTCTCTCAAAGTGTGGCCCTGACCCAGCAGCAATAGCTGCCTCTCGGGGGGGGGGTCTTCAGAGAAATATATATTCTCACCCACTGCTGAACTAGTGGGTGGGTCCCACAATAGTAACAACTAATAAGCCCTCCAGAAGAGGCCTTGAAGGTACTAGCCTAGCTAACTTCTCTTTCTACTGTTCCACAGAACCATCCTCACGTTCCCCTACCTGTCATGCTACTGACTTCATCATCCAACAAGTACTTACCAAATTCTACTACACACTAGGCACTGGGGACCCCTGAGGACAAACTCAAGGCTGCCTTGTGATTGACCCCATGTAGGTCTGGACCCCTAGAGGTACACACAGCTTGCTTGTTGGTTGGTTATTGGTGTGCAATCCAGCTGGACTTTCCAGCACCTCTCCTCTTCAGCCTTGACCTTCTTCCAACACTTACTGCACTTGTGAAAATAAAGTGTGCTGCTTACAGGTAGAGATGTAAGGTGCTGGCAAATAAAATGTCATTGCATCACTACTGATGAAAGAAATAGATTATATATGTCCAATTCATTTTTTCCCTCAGTGCCTTGTACATGCAAGGCAAGCACTCTATTACTGAGCTACTTCCCCAGTCCTATGTATGTCCAATTAAATAAGCACAGAACATCAACTGGAACCATTCTAGAACAAATACAAAAAAGAATACAAGACATGACATTTTTTTCTCCTAAGACTACTATCTTAGTGACTCACAGTCTCAAAGGTCTTGAATGTTATTCTAGGCACGAAACGACAACCATCAAGTGACATTTTCAGCAGCCCATTTTGCTTCAGGAGTTACTATACAGAGGAAATGTAAAAGTAAAAACAAAAGCTAAAACGTTCTTCCCTAAGAGGAAAGATGCAACCAAACTATCATAATGCTAAAAAACAGGAGTAAAATTAGCTTCCTTCCTTATGCCTAAGGATGCTGTTACAAACAGTGCCAAGCTTTCCCTCCCTCTCCTCTGTCCCAGAAGAGCAAGGAGAGCAAACGAATGGCAGTGGCAGTCAGGTGGGAAAACTGGTCCAGCTCCTGCACAGTTTGGCGGGAACAGAGTCTTGGTCCTCACTTTTCCCACAAAGAGTCCATCAAGATGAGAAGGAAATTCTCCTAAATCAAAACTGCGGGGGGGGGGGAGGGTAGGTGGCCCAAACAATGTGAGTTTTTTTACTCACATGTGAGTAAATGTAAAACTGATTTTAAAAAAAATGCAACAGGGCCAGGTATAGTGGCTCACTTCTATAATCCCAGCTATACCTACAATCCCAATCCTAGCTACTGGGGGAGGGGCAGAGGCAGGAGGATAAAGGTCAGAGGCCAATCCCAGGCAAAGTTAGTGCAAGACTCTATCTGAAAGACAAACTAAAAGCAAAAGTGCTAAAGGGGTAGAGAACAGGCCCTGAGTTCAATGCCCAGTACCACCAAAAAAAGGAAAAAGAAAAAGAGGCACCTGTGGGAATTTGGCCCCTCTTAAGGAGGAGGCAGAAGTTCTCATTCAGAACAGGTCAACAAACTGTTGTCTACGTGAGTCAAAACAACTCACCTAGTAGTTAGTATAATACACTCACAGCTGCTTCTGCTCTAAAGTGGGGTCAGAGCAAATAGCAGAGCTGAAGTGCAAAGTGAAATCAATTCCTCCTCTAATGATAGGTATTTATTAGGCAACACTGAGCACATAACAAATGAAATAGTTTCAAAGCAAGCAGTATCAGCAGCTTAAAACACAAGATTTATTGCCCCACCAGGCTGTGGCTATTGGCCCCAAGTTTCCTAGTGACAAAGATAAAAGGAAAACCAAGAACAGTTAGTTTTGTCCACTAAAAGACAATGAATTCAACAGAAGATAACTTCTAGAAGCAATTTTGAGGAGGATGTGAAGTAACTGAATTGGGTCAACTTTGGTTTTACAATGTTCTTTGACCATTTGGTATCTGCTTAATGAAAAAATCAACAATGACTTCCTATTGATAGGTATTTCTTAGGGAATGTAAACTACGATCATAGTTCTTGTTTCCAGGAATTCCAACTTCATATAGAAGTTCTTTAAAAGAACTGAATGGAACTATGTCTTACCCCACCTATCTTTGGCAGAAGTGTTGAAGGGCTCTACCACTGAAGAGCCACATCCCCAGTCCTCAGGACAACTTTTAAGGTGGGAATGCCTACTGCAGATCCCCAGGTTGGCTGAGTTCTCGGGAGCTGTGGTTAGGTGCTGTGGGGCCTGGAGCTCAACTGCAGGTCCCACCAGGGAAAGGTCTGAATTAGACTGCAGAGACCAGAACGTGCCACCCCAAACAGCCTTCTTTGGCACATTGTAGGCCAGTTATTTTAAGCACTGCAGGCACAGGAAAGGCTCTAGAAAGCTGTCTTGTGAAAGACCTCTGCATCCCCATGCAAAGCTGCAGGAGAGGGTCAGTGTTAGTAAGAGGCTGCTCTGCCCTACTTTATGACTTCATGATGGGAGGCTTTGCCTGCAGAACAGGACAATCTTCACTCTCCACACAATTTCTCCCTCAGCATCCCACAACTGGTGTCCTCACCACGCCACCCTGCCATGCTATGCCATGCCCTGCATGGAAGCCCCAAAGCCTAGTTCCTTTCTCGTAGCTCAGGTGCTGTGCTAAGCCGTTCTGGGGGGGAGGGGTCCCATCTTCTGTGGAACTCCTATGCCAATGTAGCTAAATAGAGATTTTCTCCTAATAGTCTGTTTTATGTCAATTTTTAGCTCAACCACAAAGTGCAGAAGGAGGAAGGCTGCCTTCAGCGCCCTGCCACCTGGGCCTCTCCCTTTGAGGGAGAGTGACTCCACAGTGAATCTGTTGGTGAAGAGTCTAAGACATTTGGGATTGATAATTCTATCACCTCCTCCACACTGGAGTCACGGGTACTGTCTGTCCACACTCAAAGGGTGGGGCCTCTGGCAGAGGTGTGAACACCAGGAGGCAAGAATCACTGGGGACACATGCTTTTAGCTCCTTGACAACCATCAAATCAAATTTGGAATTAAATGCAAAAAAAGGGCTGGTGGAGTGGCTTAAGTGGTAGCACACTTGCAAGTGTGAGGCCCTGAGTTCAAACCCTAGTCCCACCAAAAGAATAATAAAATAAAATAAAGCAAAGAAAATTAGCCCCACCCCCAAATTCAGATGAGCAGTGTAAGCTGATGGACAACACAGTTCCAGAGTTCTTGAGACTGCCTTGTTGGGTACAATAGGATATACTTTGGGAACTGAGGACACTTATTTTGGGGGTTGCATGCTCAACTGTGTCAGAATGATGATTCGTTCTCTGTGTACTAAACACCCCCCTGGGAAATTGTTGGCTCACAGTCCTGGAAACCATCATGCATCCACCTAGTTAGCCACACTCTGCTCTTGCCTCCTTGGTCCCTAAGCTAAAGGAGCAAGGGTATACAGCGGACTCCATAAAACTCAGGGTCAGTCATGTACTTGGACAAAATAGGCAGGAGAGAGGAGGAGGGAGTACTTTAGGCAGTTCACCTTCTCTTCCATTCATGGACACTTGAGTGCAGGTGAAAGTGAGAAGGGAGAGATGGAATGAGTTCCTCTGTGGCCTTCTATGTGTGAATGTCTCAGCCCTCGTATGATTCTGGTAGGTCAAGATAACAATTTTCTCACCACCTGGTGTCTAAATATAAACCAAATTCCTTCATTTGCTCTAAAGTAGAGGGCTGCAAACTTTCCCCTAAAGAGCAACACACCAAATATTGTTGGCTTCATGGGCCACTCAAATCTGCTATGCAAATGAGAAAGCTGCATAGACTGTATGTATACTAATGAGCACAGCTGTGTTCTAATAAAACTTTATTTATAAAAACAGGCAGCTGACTACGTTTGGCCCACAGTTTGTAATCCCTGCTCTAAAGAAACAGCATTCTGTTCTAACACTGACAAAACAACTGGCTTTACTGGTTGTCTCCAACAGGGATTTTCAAGGATGACTCTAATTATACACAATTTTTGGCTCTGTTTGTTTATTAAGCCCCCACCTGTGTGGAACATCTCTAATATACACCGGCACATCTACACGAAGAGCTAGATAAGCCCTGAAGTCACTGTCATATCACCATCCAGACTCTTCAGATATGGTTGGGGAACTGAGGCCAGGGCCACAAGCATGCTAGAGAAGTACTTACCACTTGAGCCCCCAGCCCAAATACATTTGGCTCCTTCACTGTTTAAGTCATTATCTTCTCCCTATACCTTCCTGGACCTCCTAGACAAGGTTACTAGAGCAAAGCTCTGCTCAAACACCTTCTCCATACTACAGGCTAAGTGTCCTGCCTCTCTCTTCCTCGGGGCAGAGGGCTAAACTCTGTTCTGCTCACTGCTCTCCAGTGCCCAGCTCAACAGGAGTTCAGAAAGTGGTCATTACTATCCACTGAATGGCACGGAAGACTGGGTTTCATTCTGTGACCGTCAGCCTCCCTCCCCCCACTTCACGTTCATAGCACTTAAATGTCATTACAAAGACATACTATAATTATTTAGCGGAGCTATAAATAGAATTCTGGTGAAAAGGAAGCTCTAAAATAAGCTGAACATTTCAACTGAGGTTCAAAACCATGCAAAGATAATGAAACTATTAATTGTATCCATTGTGCTAAATCAAACATGATTAACATGTTTGATCAACATGAGCCTATGGCTCTCAACAATACTGGAAAATCCGAGAAGGCCAACCTGGATAACAGATTCAATTGCTGACCAATTAATAATTCCTCTGTATACCAGTGGAGCAGCCTGCACAGAATTCTACTCATATTCCTCTGCAGAAGCCTGTTCTCAACTGAGTCTGATTCCTTTAGATTTATTTAATTTCTTACAAGAGTAAAGATATTCAGCTCTTTCTTAACTGGAAGAAGCAGACACAGGAAGCATGACCCTTAGCAGTCAGCACTGACCCAGCCCCTGATTTGGTGCCACAGATGACTAGTTTACATGTGTCTGGCAAACACTGAATGCCACGTCAGAAACTCTATCTTCCCTCCTCCCTGGGACACATACAACCCAGGATACTCCACCCCCACACTTCACAAAATTAATTTTCATATAAATAGAGAATTAACTTGTCAGTCTTAACACAGCATCATCACACAGGTCCCAAAAGCTTGATGACAACACCCTGTGGGTTGCTTGGAGCAAGTGTTAGTTACCCTCATGGGACACTGGCAGAGCAGCTCTATATTATGGTAGTCACTAATGGATTGAGGCTTCCTGGGACCTCCTCATGAGCAACATTCTCATTAGGAACCCAACTGCCCATGAAAAGAAATAAAAATGAGCCTCAGCAGGTCTCTTGCCCCTCTTCTAGGTTAGTATGTGCAGTTCCCCTCCCTGCCAGAGATGCACCGGAGGGAGACAGCGTGCCAGAAAGAAGGAGAGCTCCCCAGAGGGACTGTACCTCCAAATCATTCCTTTAAAAACTCCCAACCTCACAAGTTAAGAACCATGGGGGAGAACTGAAGCCAACTATTCCAAGTCTGTGAACACTTACAGCAAGGCAGTTTGGACTTCTGTAGCTAATAAAGATTGGAAAAGCCCCCAAAGAACCAGCACTTACTGTCTGTACATAAGCCAAGTAAACACAGCAGGTCTCCTGCATCCTATATCTCAGGGGATGGGGACCACTGTCAGCACAAGCCAGAAACCTGGGGCCATCCTTGACTTCTATAAACCCCTTTCAAATTCTAGGTCCTATCGGCTCCCAGTCTGTTTCCATTTTACCTTCCAAACATCCAGGGACTCTGTCCTGCTGCCACCACCCTTACCACCTGCATGGAACTAACTCTGACTCAACCTGTGAATTTCACTCTTACTTCTCCAAGCCTTTCTCCCACCAAGTCAGGATTCTGTTGTCACCTTTTCAAAGCACAAATCTGATCTTCTCCCTCTCAAGCAATTGCTCTCTCTCTTTTTTGGTATAACTGGAATTTGAACTCAGGGCTTCACACTTGGTAGGCAGGCACTCTATCACTTGAGCCACTCTGCCAGCCCTTTTTGTGATGGTTTTTTTTCAAGATAGAATCTCTGGAACTGTTTGCCCAGGCTGGCCTCAAACTATGATCCTCCTGATCACAGTTTATTAC